TGCCTATTAATTTCAAAGGGAAAAACAGTAACTTTACAGTGGAGAGACCTGGGAGAGCTCGCCTCACCAGGGGTGTGCTGGGGCTGGCTCGTACCAGCTCATGGAAGACGGTTGTGTGTATTTCTTCCCAACTTGGTATACAGTGATGTAATTTTGGTAGCTTTAAATAGACCATGGTGGACACATCTGCACTAAAAATTTGTAAACACTACAGATGAGAGATTTCCCATCCCCAGAGACCAGTCGTTAAACATTTTCCGTCACACCAATGATATTAACCAAGTGATCAAAGCTAATATCACCAATACTGGGACAAATGTACATCTTGTGTCTGAACTCACAGCAGCACCCAGCACTTCTCTGCTGTTTCTATCTATATTCCTTCAGGAATGATTTCCAGCTACTAAGCCTGTTATAAATGAGTTTTGTCACACAATATGCTACTGTCACAAAGCTCTCAATATTGTACTTTTAGAGGAAAACACCTTTTGACCAAAAGCATTGTATGTCTAATACTGGAGCTTCAGACATCAGTAAACAGGTGAATAGAAACGTGGCAGATGGGGCTGGGGCCTCAATCCCGCCACTGCCAGAGTCTTGTTCTCAGACTTGAGGCTTTCATGGTTTCTGTCCCAAGTTCCTTGTTGACTTTAGGATCATTAGAAACTCTTGGTCCCTTAATCTAGCTGTAAATAGAAAACGTACTTTTAAAAAATCTATTTAACAAATCATTTTTGCTCTGTGAGATGGATGTTTTTAAAGTAGCAAGATTGAAAATTATAAATGATATGAAAAAGGTTGAGGATCAGAAAAGTAAAGTTAATTCTTCAGTCCCATTTTTTAAAAAATGGGATGGTAAATATCATTGTGGCCATTGTTAGAAATACAATCAACCATGACTATAATTGGCAAAAAGGAGTGACTAAGCCTCAGCGTATACTTAGTCTGTTTGAGGCCCAGCCAGTAGTACTTGTCCACTTCTTAATTCAGAGTTTTTTCTAAGGACACATTGATGTGGCCCACACATGCATGTGGATGACTTGGAGAATAAAAGTGGGTGGTCCTATTCTAGAGCATTTGCTCCTTTTTAATAACAGTTTTCTTGGGGTAAATTTAAATATAATAAAAGTCACCAATTTTAAATATACCATTAAATGTGTTTTGACAAATGTATACAGTTGTGGAATCATCATAATCATGACATAGAACATTTCCATCAACTCAAAAAGTTCCCTTGTGCCTTTCTGTTCCCTCGTGCATCTCCTTACCTTTCTGTCACTAGTGTTTACTTTTCTAGAATGTCATGTAAATGCCATCTAACATAATGTCTTTGGTGTCTGGCTTCTTTAGGTGCACTGCTTTTGATGTTCATGTAGGTGTTGTTTGTAATGGTAAATTGTTCCTTTTTCTTGCTATTGAGCTATTTTTTGCCTATTACTCCATTGTGAGGCTGTGCCACAATTTGTTTATCCATTCAGCAGTTGATGTACATTTAGGTTGTTTCCAGTTTGGGGCTGTTGTGAATAACTCCTTCAGCTCCATTTTAATAACTACTAAGAAATTCTTCTTTACCACCATTGCTTTAATCCAATTTATTAAATAGGGCTAACTGCAAGTTTAGTTAAAGGAGATCGTCAATGTTCTGAATGGGAACTGAAAGAAAGCCAGCTGGGGAGACTGGCTTGACTATCCTTCACGAGGCTCTCGTACCCAGCTGGAAGTGACCCTCTTTTTTATGCTTTGGTCATTTTTTTCCTTTGTACCTTTCTTACGAAGTATTTTACCATCTACCGTCTTTTTTCCATTTTGAGATCCCTACTAGGGGCAAGGACTATGTCTTATTTATCTTTATTTGACACCGTGCCTAGGAGAGTGTCTTTCACATGATAGAATTATGATAAATATTTAATGAATTGATTTGGATTCTTCCCTTGTTCCTTCTTGGATATTTAAGTGGTTTTTATGAATTCTTTCAATCCATTATTGCATTACCTCTAGAGTGTTACAAAATAAGTTTCCCTAAATAAAAATATTTTTAATCCTACCTCTACATTTAAATCATTTATTGTGTAACCTATGAGCAGATTCCAAATTCTTTGTGACCCCCAGGGTTTTTTTGTGGGTTTTTTTTTTCCCAGCTATAAAGCAAGAGGGTTTGATGAAAGACATTTGAGGTTCCTTTCAGTTCCAACATTCTGAGATTTAAGAAAAAGCGTACCAAGTCAAAAAGAACCTGCAAGAGGAGAAGGCAACATAGGAAAGGAGAAGGGGGGAAGAGATAGGAAAGCAAGAATATGTCATGTTTTTATGCAATGAAAAATAATATGTGTAGTTTCTCAAATAGAGTGAAATTGGGGAAAGACTCAACAAACATAACTTGATGTGTAACTCAACATTTGTTGGTAGAGTTCTTTCAAATTGTTTTACTTTATAAGGATGTCTACACTTAAGACAGTAGTTCTTTTCTATAGTCAATTTAGAATATCAATAAATAGCTTCTCATTCTAAAAATTGATGGTGAGATTGGCAGCCCCTTTACGCTGGGCTGCCAGTCCCAGTTTGCAATGGGTAGTCTCAGTTATGACAATGATCTTGGTATAATAATTATTTAAAAAAAAAGTTTTAGAGACAGAGTCTCACTCTCTTGCCCATGCTAGAGTGCAGTGGCATGATCATAGCTCATTGCAGCCTTGAACTCCTGGGCTCAAGAGATCCTTCTACCTTAGTCTCCCAAGTAGCTGGAACTACAGCCGTGTGCCATTATGCCTGACTAATTTTTCTTATTTTTTTGTAGAGATGGGATTTTACTCTGTTGCCCAAGCTGGTCTTGAACTCCTGGGCTCAAGTTGTCCTCCCACCTTGGCCTTCCAAAGTGCTGAGGTTACAGGTGTGAGCCACCGCACCCAGCCTATCATACTATAATTATTAATAGTGTACCTTTTCACCTCCAAATGGGTATTGGTTTTGGACAATGCATTTATAGTCACCGAATTGTTAGGGATCTTAGAGCCCCAGGTCTCCCTACCTGTATCTCCTGCTCTAGCTGGGGGTCTGACTTGGGGTTGGTTACTCAGTGAAAGAGTCCACAGGGCTCCTTTCAAGCTGGCTCCTTCAGCAGCTTGGGCTCCAGCTGGCAAAGCATTGGAGCCATTCTTTTCCAGGCATGTTTTCTAACATGTCTGGAAAATTTTTGCCTCCTCACATAAGACTTAAGTAGATTCTCCAGCTATAGTTAAAGATTGCAGCCTTCCTTTTCCTTATGGCAAGGATATAAGAACATCCAATCATTAAACATTCCCTGCTCACTTCCTATGTGCCAAGTACTGTGCTGGACTCAGGGTATAAAGAGACAAAGATCACAAAAGGAGACAGGCATGTAAAACAATGAAGTGTGATAAATGCTATCTTTGTAGGATGTACGCAACATATATTGAGGTCATTGAAGAAAGAATAGTTAATTTAGGAGAGAGAGAAAGGAGAGGAGAAGAATTTTGAGCTAGGCCTTAAAGGAATAGTGTACATCTTGCAGGGGGATTGGGTGGGAGGGAGGCATTCTAGGAAGAGGAAGAGACATGTGCAATGATCCATGGCCAGAAAGTACGTGGTGTGACTGGGGAGACAAAAAGTAGCCTAGTCTGACTCTCCATTTGTTGCAATATACTAGTTTGGAATTGAGTGTGAGGCAAGACCTTGGACCACAGCCAGAGGGGGTGTTGTTATTAGAAGTACCAGAAGGGACTTTATTTCACATTTAGCATGGACCCCTGATGATTCCATTTGAAGGAGGTGTGGGTGTATTTTCATTCCGGAATGTTACACTACAACATTACCACATGCATTGACCAATTTTAATACAGGCTTTCCTTATGTTGCTTTATAATTAGAAGCCAGTGAATTGAAGTTCCACAGCGGTACATAGACTAGTAGTGATAGCTTTATGGAATTGTTTATTTTTAGTTTGGCAAAGGCTAGGCAGTAAGTATCTCAATTAGTAAACTAAAGCAGCATGGATGAGAAATGCCCACAAGGAGATCAGGAGTTGGAAATAACTAAGTCAGTTAATTGAAGGAAACCCTCATATCACTTACCTATATTTAGAGTTTGAAGCACCAACTGAGTGTGTGTGTGTGTGTGTGTGTGTGTGTGGCACGTACACAAAGTGTCAGTATCCATAATGCTGCCAGCAATGAGGTCCTTCGCATTCCTCAGGTTCTAATTGTTCAGGAAGTTCCTCTCTTTAGGAGCCACTGTAATTGGCTACCCAATGGGATAGGTCAATGTCCTGTCACAGTGGGTAGGATGTTGTCTTTGACTACGGAAGTTTTTCATCCTACAATTTCTTTCAACATGACCCAAGAGGGATTTTATTATGAAGTGCTGGGGGAAGTTGTTAATTTTCATATTCATATTTATATTCACATTACACAGCCTGATGTGTGAAAATATTTAGTGAAAAATTCATGTGGCACCATAGACCAATTTACTTGCCTCTAGAGAGGTCTCCTTCGTTATATTTGAGATTCCATTTTAAGTTTTGGAGGAGAAACCGAGGGGCCTACAAAGCTTATTTTTAAGAATTTAAGCATTGTTTAATTTAAGAATTAAGTCTTGCAGTTCTGAGAATTCCAGTATCTTTAGGAAATATTGACCATTGAGAAGATGAAAGATGGATTGGTAATGCAAAACATTACGAATAATGTTATAGAAAAAAAAAGGTGCCTGTGCTTTAAAGTTGCAAAATACCATGATTTAGCTGTCATGATTTTTTGATTTTGAAAGCTGCATACTTTATTCCATTTGGATTTATGGCACGTATTTAACATTGTATGAAAGGTCCTTTGGATTTTCCCCCTAAAGGTGGGGAGTGTCTGTAGAAAGATTGTTGTCTTCTTATGCTTAACAATTTACTACATATCAGCTCTCTGTGGTCTGTAGGGGAAATAATGGAGGTCTGTGCATCTGCAGATTAAATTTCTGTATGTCTCCTCTCTGTTTTGCAGACTGGAAAAAGATAGCATTCAGCAGAGCTTTAGCAACGAAGCAAAGGCCCAAGCCCTTCAGGCCCAGCAAAGAGAGCAGGAGCTGACACAGAAGATACAGCAAATGGAGGCCCAGCATGACAAAACTGGTAGGTGGTAGGGAAAGATTAGAGCCTGGGCACTTACTCACAAGCCAGGCCCACGCCTTACTGTGAAATGACATCAGGAACACCTGTAACCTTTGGCTGGCCGAAGGGAGCAGATGCTAACTACACCGGAGATTCCGAATTACATATTAGTTAGCGTTTAAAAGAGAAAATGGAAAGTATTGCCCACTGTCTGTTGATTTCAGAGTGCTGCTCTCACATCTGTTGCACCATCTGGATTATGAGTTTATTTACCTGTGTTCAAGAAACGTAAAGCTGAGAGAGACCACAACAAAGTAGAAAAACAAAGGGCTTGTTTTTGGCTGGGTTTTCAGGCACACATGTTATATAAAGAAAATAGCATCAGAAGCTCTGCGGGAAATGCTCTGAGCTTACAGTTAGAGTCTCCTGAATAGCATTGAACAGTTCCCACAGTACACACATTATAGCTACTCTAAAAGCCTAATGAGTTTGCTTCAGCATCCAAACTGGAGAAAAGCTTTAACCATTAATCGGTTCTTAATTCACTGTCGCAGCTGGATGTAATTCAGTGGCTCCAAATTGATATGTTCCTTTATTTAATCTTTGCAGCTTCGAACATTTTTAGCATTTGTATGATTTCCCCACCTCCCCCAACCCAATCTAGAGTGATGTTTAATCCTTTGCATTCTTCAAGTTCTCACAACTGCTGTTAAAATTCACTAATACAAGGCATTGACCACAGCTGGCAGCTTGGCTAAAAATTGCCATCTTTCATCACATTGGCACTATTCTGCAGACTGAGTTGGCCAGTAACTCTTTACCTTTAATTTGAAAGTAAAATGCACTTTGAAAATAGGCAGTTTGATTTGTTCAGTCAGAGCATTATGTAGTTTCTTTCACTTTTGAGTTGTGTGTTCACAGAGAGTGTTAGTCAAAACAAGGCAGTGTCAGGCATTATAATTCCACACCACATTCTCCATGCTGATTGTACTATTAAAACAAAAGTTTAATTGATTCTGTCTCTTCCAGAAAAATGTTGCTTAATTTCAGTGCCTTGATTTATTTTGATTTGTATGCTATCAGCTTTTTGCCAATCATTAGCTAAAATTGAAAAGAAATAAAGGGCCTATTAAAACTTACATTTAGAGGTAATTTTCACATGATTTAATGTACAATGTATCTGATGACACAGTAAAAAATTATTTCTTATCCTATAGGTGAAAAATTACTAACATGAAATTCATTTAAAAGTGTACTTATAAAAAGGCAAATGTCATATTGACTCACATAATTCCCTGCAGCACTTTCAGTAGAGATTTTCTTCTAACAGCATTTAGCCAGAAGAAATGAAAATTCACCAGGTTTAGAAGATACTTTTCCACTAACACAAAGAGGAAGTTATAGGATACATTATTGATTGCCCTCACTGCTAGCAGGAGCCTACTGATCAGAGTCTCGGGCAGAATCTGAGTGCCAGATTACTTAATTGTTAAAACCATTTTAAGAACACTTCCTTTTATTTTGCACACACACAAAAAATCACACTTTTCAATTTCTTTGACCAAACATCCAGTGAAGCTCATGCTGTTGACAGTGAAATCAAAATTCTAAGGAAAATCATGTATTTCACCTTCATAATTAGAGAAGTGTATGCAAGATTAGGGGGGTGGTAGTAAACTATGTGCACAAATATGAAACAAAGCATGAATTACAGTGTGGAAGAGAATTCCTCGATTTCAGTTTTCAATTATCTGGTTGTGAGAATTTTTGATACTCTGTAGTAAAATTGTCAAAATAAAAATATAATACCTTGCATATTACAAAGATGTAAGCATCTATGACTGACTCCACTTGAGGTATTTGACAACTTATTGAAATGATAAAACATTACACCAAGCTGGTATGATCAAAATTGTTTCTGGTATATAATGATTATGAAAATAAATGACTCACAGGAATTAGTGGCTTGCCAGTTGATAGGTTCTTTGACTTAGGACATTGAAAGTGACCTAGTGGCTTATAGGAAATGTGTAGTGGTCTGAGCACTTTACCACTTTACGTGTGGAAGCACTGCACAGCTTTAACCATAAACATCTTACACTGGTGGGGTTTATTGTTATTTCTAGAAAATGAACAGTATTCATTGCTGCTCTCCCAGAATACATTTTTGACAAAATTAAAAGAAGAATGCTGTATGTTAGCCAAGAAACTGGAGCAAATCTCTCAAAAAAGCAGGTAGGTAATGTTATACAATACTTTTAGAGCACTGTTTGTGTAATTACTGTAATTTGTCCTTTAAAAATGGCATTTATACTATTTTATGGTCTGATATCAAAATTAGGTATCTGTTGATATAAGTTTTCTGTGAAAATATTTTCTCTGTATGGACATTTTCTTAATTGCCCATACAGACACTTTTATGGGTTTTTATGACTGTGTGTATGTACTATTATTTTTTAGTGTTTAGAATTGAAAACTATGAAATTTCAGAAAACAAAAGTCAAAATGACAATAATATGAGGATGCATATAAATAAGCAGTTTTAAAATCTTACATTGATACAGTTAACACATTTTAATCTATTATCGCAGTTCTCCATGAACACATAAAAGCTATCTTTAGCTTAAATGATAATAGATGAAATTTGTATATATAAAAATGAAAGTAGATGATACTTTGAAATAAATAAACCAAAACAATCCTTTCCTTCACCTAAAATTGTTTTGTTTCAATAGAACAGCCATTAATACTGATCTTTTATAAATCCACTTATTGGAATCTTAATGACTTTTTTCCTGCACATTTTATAGTCAGATCATCTCAATGAATAAATTATTTTATATGCTAAATTGCGAGAAGCCCGGGTCCTCATCTCAGCTCTGACAGTAACTGTGTAATCTTGGACAAATTTATCTGACCTACTTGGATTGTAGTTTCTTCTTTTATAAATGAATGACATTGGACATAATTACTTTGAACTAAACTATAAAAGGCAATGTTCACGTAACTATCTAGATGTCAAATATCACTTTACATCTACACAGAGCAAGAAATATGGCTCAGCAAACAAACTACTGACTTAGGTGTTTCATTCGGGAAGGATTTCTGGGAGGATCAGAGCGTATCTGATTACTCTGAGCTCCATCTTGGGTTCCTGCCTCAACCAGCTGTGTTAGCCAATAGAATCCTCATCCCTGAATCTTTTGAGGAATCAGAGGGGTTACTAGTCCAATTCTTTCTGCTCACAGGAAGGCAGAGGCTCCTAAAACCAACCAGAATGTGCTCTGATATGCACACCTTCTTAGCATGTACTAATTAAATAACTTATTTTGGTGGAGGAAAATCTCAGTGTGCCAAAATACCAGATATTTTCAGGAAGTTTGACCAAGAAAACCAAATGATTTTGTCATACAGGAAACTCTTACAAAATGTCAACAGTGGCTATTCCTAACCAGAAATATTCAATTTACCCCACATAAATCCAAAAGCAAATAATTTGTTAAAAGCACATGGATTTATATAATATAGGGAGAAATGATATTCATCTGGAATTTATATTATTGGGTTATGTGTCTAAGATTGGTTTGTGGATTATTATTGATGAATGATCTTGCTTTCTAAGGTGGCAAGATAATTGAAGTATATGAAAGAGACAAAAAGCCCGGTGCAGTGGCTCCCGCCTGTAATATGAGAACTTTGGGAGGCTGAGGCAGAAGGATCACCTGAGGCCAAAAGTTCAAGGCTGCAGTGCAGTGAGCCGTGATCATGCCACTACACTCTAGCCTGGGCAACAGAGTGAAACCCTGTCTAAAAAAAAAGAGAGGGAGAGAGAGAGAGACAAAGGTGCTTGGTATATATTATTTAATTCCCACAACAACTTAAGACAGGAATTAGAATCTTCCTTTACAGCGGAGGAAATCAAAACTATGTAAATCACTGGTAAGTGGGAGAGCTAGGGTTCTGACCTAGGTATTTTGCGTCCCAAATAATTACAATATTTTATGTGTACTACTAAAGAAAATTCAGGCCATGCCATAGTAGCTAGGATGGCAAAGTTTGGGAAGGAAAAATTAATTTTTAAATTCACGTGGAGAAGTATACTTGGCCTGTTAGGGTTAACCTGCAAGGCTGGGTTAACCAGTACTCTGTGCCCACAGGCCCTCTTTTTCTTCCTCTAGATCTATCAACTTACCCTGTACTTGTCTCGTGAACTTGAAATTCACCACCTCTCCAGCTCCTCTTGCTTCTGATTCCTCCAGCTCCTGGCCACTAATTTGTAAATTGAATGTGTTCCTTTGTGTCAGACACATAGCTGGCACTTAATACTTATGTATTGAATGAATGGAAGATGAATGAATGAAACAAGTGTGATGCTACCCCACGTCCTGATGTGACTTCTGATTCCAGCCTGTTCCTTTGTCGATATCAGACAGTATGCAATAAGGAATACTTCAGAATTCTAAGAGAAATAGGTTCAAATCTCCTTCTGCCACTTAGCTACTGTAACCTTGGGCACATTGCCTTACCTCCCCAAATCTCAGCTTCTCCATCTATAAAAACATTTCTACTCGGGTGGGGCAAAGGCGATATATATAACCTAAACATTTGTACACCCATAATATGCTGTAATAAAAAATAAATAAAAATAAAAACAGTTCTAAAGCCATGTTGCAGGATGGTTGTGGAAATCAGAACTATATAGAGATATGCAAACATACATATATGAAGTCCTAGCGCAATGGTTGACACATAGTAACACACAGTACTGCTGTTGTCACTGATGGCATTGTTTTCAGGGTGTCGACTGGTAATGTGGGTATCACTTCATCAAGCTATTATTGTGTTTGCCAGGGAAGGTCTGACTGCCATTTTCTGATAAACGTAGAGTCTCTGCCACAATGAAAACCTTTTTAAGGGCAAAGCAGGATCAGGACAATGTGATCTGGTTGTGTTTTGTAAGTCTGAAGGATTAAAATGGGAACCTACTGTAACTTTACAGTTTGATTCAAAACTAAGGCCTGGCAAGTAGTAAACACTCAATAAATTGTTACTTATTATTTTTAAAACTTTTAAGAGCCCCTAAAGTTTACTAAAGCTGCATTTATGTGCCTCACAGGAAAGTAGTAGATAGGACAAATTGTGACTGTTGGGTTGTTTGTTCATGTGGGATCCAGTCTCATTTCTCCTTGATTTCCTACTGTGACATTTTCAACAATTCCTTCATGCCAAAGTTAACATCCCATTTTGATGTTACCTTCTGCTTTGAAACCACCTATAAAACTTGAAGGCCTTAGACTCTTTCTTTTTAAATAAAAATTATAAACATACTAAAACCTGTAGAAACCCTCCAGGAGTTTGCCTCTGCTCACCCTCTACTAAATTTGGGGGATAAATAATTTCCTCTGTGCTTTGAGGTGAGGGAAATCTTGGAGATTCGGAAGTTTTGTCATTGTGCAAACTCAGTCTCCAAAATAATTATGTAATCCATATGGTAATTTTGGTCCAGATTTTTCTCAGAGTATTGCGGTAAAATTTTTTCCTGAAAGTAAGTGTATTTATTTTGCATTGATCAATAATTAAAAAACAGTTTTTTTGCTCTCCTGCCTTTACTAGCAACATCTCTCTAAGAGTTTTATGTTATTTAAAATGCCAAACTAAACAAATGGATTCATACCATTTAAAAAAAGCTTTTTTACTCACAGATCTAGTCATTTGACTAGAGCCCATGCAGAATCACGAGGAAAGCTGGCAATCTGGGCTCGCTATGCCCGTATACTCTTACTCTCTGCCCCAGCCTCACGCAAGGCTGCTCTGTGAAAATGTTTTGAAATGGTACCTCTGTGTGTATGTGTCTGTTGTATGTGTTTTCTCCCCAAGTAGACCGTAAGTCGCGTTATGGCAGTGACGACTGCTTCTGTTCTCTGGAAGCCTCCATAGAGATTAGCACTGTACTTTGCGCACTGTGTGTATTCCACACTGCACGTAGTGGTGTCTGTAACCCCAGGGTTTGTGAATGGCACGTCCCATTTTAAAACTAAAAATGAACTGCTGATTCTGTGCATTTTATATAGCTTGTTTTTGACCATCAGGCAAGAGAATTAATTCCATTTTGCTTTTAATTGGCACCAGGCAGACATTCTGGCTGATTTTAGTTGAAGCTCACATAAACTTTCGCTACCCTTCCTTCTGTATTCCCCAGTACTCTGAGAGCTTATTACAGTTATGGGGTTGTTTTTGAGGGAGGTAAAGGGAGATATTTAAATACCATTGGAACAACTGTGATTTTTCTTTATCAAAGTAAAGGAAGTCCTCCCTCTCCCCCAGACGCTTAGATGAATCAGCAGTAAAACCTTGCAGTGCAGTTTGCAGCGTTATCTGACACCTGGCCTGGAAGCGCTGGGGAAGGTTGGGCACTGGCTAGGAGAGAGCCTCTGCCAGCACAGAGTGGAGATCTAGTTTGTGCTGGGTTTCAGCCTCTCACCACTTGCACTTTGAAAAGAACAGTATAGAGCACAGAACCCGGATCTATGTGGTTTTGCTTCTCTTCTTTCTTTTCTGTCATTGTCACTTTCTGGGTTGCGAGGCTTGTGGATTGATGTCTAACACTGCCCATTGTGTATTTGTGATTTGCGTTTTGTAATTAAGAGGAACAATGGGAGTCCATGGGGTCTCGTTATATATAATGGTTGGTTTAATTTGTTTCACTTCTATCTTGTTAATTGTAAATTGATCATTAAGATTTGAATTCTAATCTGTCACCAGGGTTGTGAGTATTGAGGCTAGAGCAATGATCCTGGTTTTAATCACTGATGATGAGAAACAAATTTTATAATTTTGGTACATATTGCAGTTCATATATTTTAACACTGTATTTTATGGTGTTATAAATATTGTTAAATGACTTTTAGTGTAGTTTTACTGTGTGGACTATAATGTATAAATTATATTACTGCTTTGGCAACAGTAGGTATCCAACTGTGTGAGTTTAATTGAAGTGAAGAACACACACCCGGTTGAACTATTTTTTTTCCCTTGCATGTTTAGATGATGTTAGGTTGGGAATGCTTTAAATATTATATTCTACAAGAGGAGACTGATATTGGCCTCTGCTAATTGTTATAAAAAGTCAAACCAGAATCTAAAAGAATAAAAAAATTAAAGTGTCATGTTTTCCTTTAAAAAGCAATCATTTTAATCTGAATTATAGTAGTAAAATATCTTCTATTTCATGTAAATGCAATTACACAATATAACTGGTATATAAAAATGCAGGGGAAAGTTGGTGCTTTTGGAAAGCCAGAAATTTTCTATGAAAATGGATTAGAGTCAATTATCCTTTTATATGATACTAGGATAAACATGCCACAAATGTATCTCTAAACTAATATAGAAACTTGTAAACTTGTAAGTTTACTCTTTGAGCTTTGCAAACTACTGGTTCTATGAATATATTGTGAGCTCCAGACAGAAAAAGGATGACGTGTATGCACATGGGCCCAGTTTTTATTGAACAATGGAAGTTGGCAGTGAACTACCATTATAAATAAAGAAAAAAACAAAAATAAGCAAAGCAGAAAAAGAAAGATTGTTACAATAACACACTTGGTAGTAGCATGTACTTCACAAATAACATTTACATTTTTGTAATTATGTAACAGATCCCCAATGTACGAAATTTGAAAAATACAAAGAAGAATTAAGGAAAAAAATTTTCTGTGACATTATCATCCAGAGATAACTATTGTTACCTTTTACATATTTCAGTCATTTTCCATATGTATGTATGCATACATTTATATTGTGACTGAGATTATAGTATATATACAGTTTTGTATCTGCTTTTTCACTTAATACCATCTCATCTAATGAACATTTTTCTATATCAGTAAATACTTTGGAAATAAAATTTTAATTGAATCATTTATATGCATAATAATTCATTAGACATTTAAGATGCTTCCAATTTTTAACCATTATGAATAATAATATGACAATAAGTGTATGCATAAATCTGAAGTTTTGATGATTCCCTTAGTAGAGATGGCTAAAAGGGGATTGCTGGTCCAAAAACTATGAATCCTTTTAAGGCTTTTAATGTGTTTTACTTTGCTTAAGTACTGTACTAAATTCTGCTCGCTCTCTCTCTCTCTCTCTCTCTATATATATATATATATATATACATGCCCATATCAGTATGTAACATTAAAAAGAAGTGGGAGATAAAAGAACAAAAGGGGGAAGCAGTATTGCAGGGTGGGTGGAACTACCCCTTAAGAAGTGGACAGAATAGTATTAGTATCTGGGCCTGGCCACTCACCATTTGGGTGATCTTTGGCAAATCATTAATCTTCATATTTATCTCACAGAGAAAAAGAAATAAACACAGGTACCTTGCAGGATTGAGATCATTAATGTTGTAAAGGATGGATTCCACTATTTGTTATAGAGTAGGCATGCAAGAAACATTTGATAGTAGTATCTGGTTTTGTTACGCATTTCTTTGAATAATGTAAAATTGAATATTTTATAAATGTTTATTGACCATTTGTGTTTCTTCTGTGGATATTTTTCATATTCCTTGTACTTTTCTTAACTGGAATGTTGATGGAGAGTGTAGTTAGTGCTTTATTTAATGATGCTTTTAATCTTTATTGATCCTGTTTTTATAAGTGTTTTCCTAGTTCTGTATATTTTTTTAATTATTAAACTTTACTTTTAGAGTAGTTTTAGATTCACAGCAAAACTGAGCAGAAAGTACTGAGAGTTCCTATACATTCCGTGTCCCCTCCCCAAATCTCTCCCACCATTGACTTCTCCATTTTGTTTTATTATGAATTTTTTCAAAATCAAAATGATTTTATTTTTTTAAAAAAATACTGTATACGTCCATTTAAAACATTTATAAAGTGTGGGGAAGGATGAATAAAGAAAAAACACTCATCCTACCACTCAGAAATAATCTATATTAATATTAATATTTGGTATACATGTCAAAATATTTTTTTAATTATGAAATGGAATCACATTATACATGCTGATTTTTAGTGTTTTCTTTTTCTTATCAATATATCATAGTTTTAGGTCAATAAAGAACATTAATAAATAGCCACATTTTCAGAATAATATCTTGATATTTCATTGAATAAGTACTATAACCAATCTCCTGTTGATAGATTTCTGGGTTAAGTTTCCAGATACTGGGTTGCAGAGCAAGTTTATTTCTAGAAATAATGCTGTAATGAATACTTTCACCCAAATGTACAATTTTTTCCAAACGTGATTTGTAAGTATAGAAGTTTTATAAAATCTATTTTTTCTTTGTGATGTTTTTTAAAAAGTTTCTTTTTGTTTGAGTTCCTGAGAATAGATAAATGTTCTTCTGCATTTTTTTCTAACATGGTTTAAGGGTATTTTTTTTTTCTTTTTTGGGGATTTATTTTAGTGCATGGTATGATAAGAGACACTAATCTTGGAAGGAGTACTAAATTAAAAAGTTATTATAACTACCTCTAATTTCTTTTATATTATATGTAATTGTGAAAGAAGAAACATAAGTCATTACCAACTTGTTTTGGACTATTTCAAACATGAGTAAATTCTTATTAGGAGGAGCAAATGTAGATTGAGCACTTGATCTGAGCTTGAAAATGAGATAATCCACTCTCTCTTGTATAAAGGAATAGAGCACTATTCAAAAGAATAAATTATAAGCTAATATATACATAAAGGCTAGAGGTAGTTTTATAAATATGCTGCCATATTGAGAACTGCAAGGTACTAATCAAGGCAAGCTTCCTTTGAGATGACACTTGAACCAAGATAAAAACAAAATGAGAAATGAGGTGAATTAAAAGCAAGAGATTGCTCCAAACATGTGAGCAGCTTGGTTCTTGGGAGGAATGATTTGGAAGGTGAGAGTTCCCTTAGCAAATCGAAATCCTTTCCTAACCGGGAAGAAAAGTCTATCTTGCCTAATGGAAGAACCATTTCTTTGGAGGGAATTAATTTTACAACTAGAGTATTACTTAAACTTCAGGGAACAAACCAATCATTAACCTGGAAGCTACTCATATTATGATCTGCAAGAATTTTAAGCTTTCAGTTGTAACTGTTGGGACAGTTAGGGCATGAGGAGATGGGGGCAGTGGGCAAGAGTTTAGAGTTTAATTGAAACAAGGACAGGGAAACAACTTTTCTTGGATAGACATCTTTCTGATCTTCAAATTTTGAAACTTGAGATTGTCATCTAAGACTCTAAAGACAGCATATTTCCTGAGGGGCATCAGCCATCACCAAAGGAGATACCTGTGATCCCAAGTGAAATATATGAAGACAGAAAGAAGGTTGGGGAAATGGTACCTGACTTAGCAGAATGGAGAACAGTTAACCTTAAGTGTCCAGAGTGGGATATGGATATGTGAAGCAAGCTAATCTGTTCTCAGAATTCCAGGAAAACTTGGAAGAAAAATGGAAGATTCCTACTCTACCCCTTCCAGCCAAGTAACTTCCCCTCATCCGTAAAGAAGACTAGGGCCTTCCCCTCTGAAGAGATTAAACCAGAGAGCTCTGGTTAAAATAGGGGCACTGAAGTTAGAATAGAGGGATTAAGAGAAAGACTGTAGTCTGAAAGGTAAGATTCTCACCTCCTGTTTCCACTCAGCTTCTAGGTTGCTGACAGTCATGATTGTACACAACAGCAGGAAACCAAAAGATCCTTCTCCAGAGCAACAGAATGTTGATAAACAAAGTTGACAGACAGTGATATTTGAGGATCTCCCATCAGAAAAGGTGGCTTGCCACTCAGTCATCCTATGCTAAAGCCCACTAGTTTGGAGAAAATGAATGTACACAAGTGCAAATGTAATCATAATATACTGCTTGGGTAGCAAGGACTAATATTTAAGTAGTCATTATAAAGCAAATACTAATTGAACCCCAAACTGAAATACTGGTAATTACATTGACAAGCTGGAGAAGAAAGAAGGGAATGAGGCATATAGAAGAGCTTAATCTTCATCTCCCATAATAAGTCAGTAGATATTTCCTAATTGATGGAACAAGATATAGTGGATGAACTTATTTAAAAATACGGAGGTGAATACCAGAAGAAATAGCTTTACGAAAATTGAAAGTATTTGTCACTGTTTAGCTGGATTGGGGATCAGGGAACAGGAGACTGCTGCTTTAGATTATTACGCCTTTTAGAACTTGTGTAATTATTAAGAGTTCTTCAGAGAAACAGAACCAACAGGATATCTATCTGTTGACCTATTGACCTATCTAGGTCTAGATAGACAGAGATAGACACAGAGATTTATTTTAAGGAATCAACTACTGCAGTTGGGGAGGCCTGGTAAGTCCAAAATCTTCAGGGTAGGCAGGCTGGAAAAGCAGGGAAGAGTTGAAATTTAAGTTCAAAGGCAGTCTGGAGGCAGAAATCCTTCTTGCTCAGGGAGGTCAGTCTTTCTTCTATTAATGCCTTCAACTGATTGGACAAGGCACCCACACAAGGGCAATCTGCTTTACTCAAAGTCCACTGACTTAATGTTAATCTCATCTAAAAAACACCTTCACAGAAACATCCAGAATAATGTTTGGCCAAATATCTGGGTACTTTGGCCCAGCCAAGTGGACATATAAAATTAACTATCACAGAACTATTTGATTTTAACCATGTGCCATTAAATTGGCTTTGTTAATTGAAAGAAATTCTCTGTTACAGAGGTTAGGTCTGGGGTTTTTTCTTTAAAACATGGTGACTGGCCTATAATAAATGCTCAGTAAGTGTTTGTTAAATGAATGATAGTCTTTTTAAAAAGAGATTTGATCATTACCATTTTTGTCTTGTTCCTTAGAAAAGCCATTTCTATTAGAGTAAGTGTTATTCGTTTATTTAACACTTGAGTCCCTACAATGCATATATATCTCTAGATATTTTGCAATTTCTGTAATATTCTCTTTTACATAAGATAATTTTTGTTATACTGTTACATTTAAGTATGGAGCTTAAGATAAGGTTACAGTTATAGAGTAAAAATATACTGTAGTAATAAGAACCCGTAACATTTATTACTTCTGTGTTTTTACCTCTCTAGATCTGAAATAGCTCAGCTCAGTCAAGAAAAAATGTATACATATGACAAACTGGAAAAGTTACGGAGAAGAAATGAAGAATTGGAGCAACAGTGTGTCCAGCATGGGCGAGTACATGAGACGATGAAGCAAAGGTAATAAAGGTTCAATAATCCCCTGATGTGCCTGTGGTGAATGTGTTTGGTTTATAAACAGAAGGGGAATTGCTGTGAAAGAAAAAGAATTCACGATCATTACGCGACTCCAGGGACATACTCAAAACCTGATGCTTTCGGGCTGTTATTATTCTATGCAAAAAGGACAGCGCATCCCCTTTTTGCTGTTCTCTCAAAGCAGAGAATTTGCTTTAATCTAGAACAGTGGAGGAAAACCATCCCCCTTTTAGGTATAAATTGGTAATATTGTAATATGGAGGAATTTCACAATTTATTTTGTAGACTTTAGATTTTTTGTGCCTTTTTTTTAGGATAAAACATGTAGTAGGCCTAAAGAGGTTAAATATCTACAGAGGTTGCACAGATACTATTGCTAGAGTCACAAGCATTGATAAATAACAGTATGATATGGTAAATGTATTTTCTCTTCCTTATGATTGTCTCAAAAACATTTTTTTCTCTAGCTTACTTTATTGCAAGAATATAGTATATAATACATATAGCATACAAAATATGTTAATCAAGTGTCTATGTTATCAGTAAGGCTTCTAGTTAACAGTAAGCTATTAGTAGTTAAGTTTTGTGCCCCTAACCCCAACATTGTTCAAGGGTCAACTGTACAATAATGATCAGTTCTAGAAAAGAGACATACACTTTGTGGTATAAGTACATTTAATAAGGGGATTTATCCTGATCAGGAAAAGCTTCAGTGAGACCATGGCACTTGAATCTGGGAGCAGTGGGGTTAGGGATTATTAGCCTTCTACAGCTGGAATTGGCAAACTGTGCCCCAGTCCACAGCTCATCTTTTCATGGCCCAGGAACACAGTCATGCTCATTTGTTTGCATATTGTCTGCGGCTGCTTTCGTGCCACAGCATCAGAGTTGAGCCGCTGAGTCAGACACTATGGCTTCTTGGCTGACACAGCCCACTGTATCTACTGGCTGGCCCTCTCCTAAAAAAGTTTGCCGACTTCTGTTCTAAAGAAAGGAAACTGTAAAATGGATGGTTTGGAGGTAGAAAAGCCAGCCAACTTCTGTCCTCGAGAAAGGAAAGCTGTAAAACTGATGGTCTTGAGGTAGAAAAGCACGGTATTTTTGAGGAAGAGAAGAACTATGTGTTTAACGTAAAGATAAGGGAAAGAGTGGCATGTGAGGTTGGAGAGTAGGCAAGGGCCAGCCCTAAGGCACAGGGTCTTTAAGTTTTTATCATGGACCTTTTATTTTACCCTGTTATTAACGGGAAGAAATCAAAAGGTTTTTTAAAAACAGAGGAGTGATGTGATCAGATTTCATTAAAAATAGCATTCTAGGCCAGGTGCAGTGACTCATGCTTGTCATACTAGCACTATGGGAGGCTGTGGTGGGAGGAGTGCTTGAGGCCAGGAGTTCAAGACCAGCCTGGGCAACACAGTGAGACCCTGTCTCTAAAAAAAATTTTAAAATTAGCTGGGTGTGGTGGAGTGTGCTTATTGTCTTAGCTACTCAGGAGACTGAGCCAGGAGGATTGCTTGAGCCTGGGAGTTGGAGGTTTCAGTGAGCTATGATCACACCACTGCACTCCAGTCTGGGGACAGAGTGAGACTCTGTCTCTCTCTCTCTCTCTCTCTCTCTCTCTCTCTCTCTCTCTCACAGAAATAGCATTCTAACTCCAGAGTAGATAGTGGATTGGAGCAGAGCCATAGTGTTTACCCAGGACCAACTAGGGAGTAGCAAAGCAATGATGGTGGCTTGGACTGGAGTGATGATAATGGTGATAGAAGTCAACAGAGTGGTGAAATATAAAGGGAGTAGAATCAATAGAATTAAATCAATTGGCAGTGTTGGGTGGAGAAGGGGAGCATGTCAAGGATGACACCCACATTTCTGGCCTGAGCAGAAATGAGCAACATGTGCCTAGTCATGCTACTTATTAAGAACTAGAGAACACTCCAAAGAAGCAGGTTTGCAGTTGAATTGGCCTGGGTTTGGCATGAGACCCAGTGTTAAGTTTTTGCCATGTTGAATTTAATGTTCAAATGGATATGTTGAGTGAGCAGGTGGATATAATGGGCTAAGCTCAGAAGATAGGTCTGGACTGGAGATAGAAATCTCCATTGGCCTATAAAGGATATTTGAAACCTTGGGAGTAAACAAGGACACCTAAAGAAAAAAACAGAGTAAGAAGGAAGGAGGTTTAAGGTAAAGTAGGTGCAGGCAAAGGAGACTGAGGCAAAGCAATCTGAGAAACTGGTAGAGCATGTTGTCACACGTGCCGAAGGACAAAGTGAACAACCAGAGGCTGCTGAGGGATTAAATAAGACTGAAAAGTATCCATTGGACTTGGTGACATGGACATTGCTGATTATGTTAACAGGAACAATTTTAGTTGAAGAGTGGGTACAGAAACCAAATTAGAGTGGATTGAAAAATCAGTGCGAGATGAAAATCTGAAAGAACTAATTTAGAGCACCTTTTCATGAGGTTTGCCTGCAAGGGAAAACGGAAAGCCAGAGACACTGGTGGTGGGGGGTGTATTGGGAAGGGCATTTCGGAGCAGGGAATAAGTGTTGATTCACATATTTCCCCCTAGAAAATAGAACTCGGTGTATACAGAGAGCCCAGAGCCGGTGGAGCTCTCTCACCTGGGTGTGTGCTACGTCACCAACTCCCAGTGATCCTGCGTGTTTTGTCAGTTGTACAGTTTTACATAGTTTTCTTCCTTTTGTATGGTAATGTATTGTTTAAATTACATACATAGAAACCATTGTCAGAAGACATGAAGCTTCCGATTGAAATATAACAATGAGTTTTAATTTGATAATTCTCCTATAAATTAGCCTCAGAATGATCTTTACCAAATCCATAAATTCAGTTTTTCTAACAGAAATTTTATTCTTCAAAAGCCATTGTTAAAAATAGGAAATACAGTATTGCTTTTTATCTAATTTGACATTTTAATTTTGGGGAATTAAGACTACTCACTATTTTCACAGAAATATTTGAAAATAAGAAGTCTGAAATCTTAACCCTTAAAAACTAAAAGAGAAAGCTATAATAATTGAATTTTACATTCAAAAAACAAAAATTTCTTCATAACAGATTTAATTTTAAAGCCATATTGTAGAGTAAAAATAGGTGCTAAAACTTATGATATTGGCCACTTGTGCCTTTTTTAACATAATTCATTAAGGATTTAATTTATGTAATGAAATAGTGGCATTATTACATATAAAATCACTTTTAAAATAAATTTGATATTATTTCTAAATTTGTACTTACTTTAAATAAAATGTTTATACTTAAAATTTTTCTCTTTATCATATCATACGATAATAATGAAATGATTTAATAAATTCCTAAGGGGGTTCATTTAACTGTATGTTTCTGTGAAGGGGGTTGGAGAGTCGAAAGGAACTTGGAGATGTCGAGGTAGACAAAGGGGTGATGTTATGAGGTTCCTGTGAAGAGAGGTGGGTTGGGGTACCAAGCATAGAAGAGAGAATAGTCCTGGACTGGGGAGGGTCACCGCCTACACTGCAACAGCTGTGGCAGGAAACAGGACATATCTGATAAATGCATGTTTATGAATATGGTGCTGGGAAGGTGAGCTGAGGCCAGATGTAGTTTTTTCTGTGTTTATTTGACATCTATTTTGTACTGGTCACTGTGGTAGGCCCGGAGATACTAATACAGGATGTAAGGGATCTACTCTGCCTCACTCCCATTATTGTGGTCTCCCTCACTATTGGGGCCAGGTATTGTGAGCCTGCAGTGCAGAGTAGCCAGACACCCCCTGCTGTCTCCTGGGAGGTCACTCTGGGCTGCCATGGTGCTTCCAGAAACCCCAGAGGCAAAGAGGAAGGATGTTCTAGAGGACCAGCCTCCCTTGGCAGTCTGGAAAGAAGTTGGTTGCCCTTAAGGGTTTTTTTTTTTTAATCTTTTGTTCTCTCTGTTTTATATAAACCAAAAGTCTGTTGTTGATATTAGATTTGGGGAGTATGGTCAAAAAACTTCCCTGTTCCTGAGGAAATTTCTTGAGTTGATCATCCCTTGTTTAGAAAAGTGATCAAAGTGTAGACTCAAGCTCCCTGAGTAGGGGTGGCCAGAAGACGGACCCAAAATTATAGGTCTTTTTGTCAGTTCTTATGGGCAGTTCCAAAATCTATTAAGTAAAAGATTTAAAAGTACTGAAATTTGTTTTTTATAAACAAAACAACTTATAGAGAATGCTAATGCAATATTCCACTGGCTTCCTCCACACTTTGCAGAGCTTGTGTGAGGCAGCACATGCTCTGATAGTTTGACTTCCAGTGATTTGGGGGAAGGACATTTAGTTATCACTAGGTTATCAGTGTTGTACTGAGGTCATTTTGGTTTTTAAATGCTGCCATTCTTGCTTTTAATTATAAGTTGCTGTTAATTTAGCTTTATCATAATAATTTAGTTTGTTTTGTTAATGCCCTACAGTGCAGTATTGCATACTTGCATCAGCAGTGTAATGGTTTCCCAATAACTACATTTCAAGTCGTGTGTAAATTATAATTCAGAAGTGAACCATCCATATTGCTTTTGCTAAAGCAGATATGTATGTGTAATCCCTGCCTCCCACCACTGCCCCACCAATTTGCTGCAGAGGGGCACTCCTTTGGTGGTATGCTGCTCGCAAATCTGTGTTTTTAAATAACTGACAACAGACTATTAAAAGCAAATTAACAAAATTGCTGTGTTATTTTAGATTTGTGTACCATTTTATAATATAAAATTATATTTTTATGAAGAAAATGGTAAGTGATTTACATGTTGCTAGAAAAGATGCTTATTATAACTTTTTTATTTGAAATTTCCCTTTGTTATCAGTAGACTTTGTTTCACTGCACCATGGAAATGTGTGGATTAGGTAGGCTGTCTCACCTGACGTGTCTAACAATAAACAGTCTGAGAGTATTATGCAGAGGAAAGAAGGGAGCTATGAAAACCAGGAACAGCTTAGAAAAGTT